GCAAGACGGACGAGGCCAGCGTCGGAGTTTCCTTGCGCCTACCTGGTTAGTAGCCATGCACATCTGGATCCGTATTTCGCTTATTCACCAGAGCAGAGTACCGCGCTTTGCCAAGAGAGGGCAGAAGGTGCATCCATCGTTTACCAGAAGGGCGCTCAAAATCCGACTTCCTGAGTCCGCTCCCCCGACTACAGTGCCAAGCTCGAAGTGCGCGGAGCGACGTCCTGATTCGCCGCGGCCCAAGATGCACAGACTTCGCGAAGGAGACACTTGGCCTCGTGAGGTCGGGGGCCCCCGAGTCACCAGTCTGCTACTTAGCAGGGGTGCCAAGTCCTGGATTCAACGCCATGTCCCATAGCTCCACAGGCGCAGACCACTTTGGGGCTATCCGCCTCTTACCTACACGCCTAAGTTTTGTTGCAGATTCTCTTGAAACCATCGCCCGCAAGGTCTGCGTCAGTCATGTTAAAAGGCGTGCTGCGTTCCTTCAGCTCCGGCAACTACCCCCGCCCCCCAGCTCGCCGGCCTGCGCCCCTCCTTTAGGTCCAGGCTCCGCCCGGAAACTCACTTGCTCAGCTCTTGTCGGCAGGGCGGTTCGAACCTCTCGCGCCCTTTTCTTATTGGGCCCGATCCGCGCTCCCGCCGCCGCCCTCGCATGGGAAAAAGCTCTATGCAGATTTCTCGCTCCCCACGCTGCCCTCAAATGCTAGAGGTGTTCGTCTCGGCGCAATTGAAATGCCTCCTGAGCCATCATGCGCAGCCTTCGGGTGCCCTGTCTGAGTTCCTCCGTCGCGACTTCCAGACCCCCGAGGCCGCGCCCTCCAGGGCACGCCTGAGCTCTCGGCGGTGCTGCAGCAGCCTGGAACGGGCCCCCATCCAGCTCCGCTCTGCCAGGCACGCTCTGCGACGCTCTGGCAAAAAGTGGCGACGCAACGTCATGCAGCACTCGCTCTGAGTGGTCGAACAGACGATCAAGAGTCCTGGGGCGCCAGACGCATCAACTCCTGCTGCTGCTCCTCCATCCTCCGCTCCACCCCGTCAAGAAAGCCCCTCCGTCCCACCCCTCCCCGCGGGGCCGCCATCGTCGCGTCGGGGTGCAAACGGGCAGCGCCTAGATGCGGTGGCGCGCTCGTGCTCTCCTGCTCGGTTCGCGCAAACGAAGGTCTATTCACCTCCGCAGAAATAGACAGTTGATCGCGCTTCTCTGCCACGTTAGTGAGCTGGAGCTGTTTCCCCTTGCGCATGAGCGCACTAGCCGCTATCGTAGCTCCCACCATCGACTGCGGAAGACAAACGTAGTCCAATATCGCGTTGGTCTCCACGCCATACTAGGCGGGACGGTCGCAGAACGTCGACGCCGCCATCGTAGACGGACTCTGCAATACTTCTCGAAACGCCGCACCAGCAACATGCTCCACGCACGATCCACAAACATTCGAAACATCAGGGTCAATCGCAATTATGTCCTCACTTCGTATCAGGCCAATTCCATCGTTCAGGTCGCACATCACCACTGGAACCGACCTCGCAGGGCACGCCGCCAATTCCTGTGAACGCCACTGAGTCATGGCTCGTACCGTCCTCTTGTACGCGGCCTGCTTCTTGGTCTCCGTCACCTTGGGCGGGTAGTACTGAGCCACAGTCGTGAAATCCTCCGATTTGGTCCTGGCTCGAATCGCCAGGCACCTTCCCGCCAGTCCTTTCCCACAACGAACTACACGTATATGATCGTCCCGGAATCGTTTATGTAGCAGCACCGACACACCACAATCTGTTTTAGAATTAGGGGTCCGCTGCCAACCCGCCTCCAGCAGTAGCCGCCCTTGTGCACGCCTTCGCTGAATCTCAAGCTCCTTGGCCTTCAGCTGCGTGCTTGTCAAAGCCACTGCCTCCACGTCTGGAAAAGCCATGCACAGGTCTTCAATGCGATCGAGCTTCGAGCATGCCAGCGGATTGTACGGCGCGAGCTCCCATAAAAGGGCCAGCGAAACTCTGAGGGGTACACCAGAGCGGCATGAACATAATGAAATATATGCGCAGGTGACTCATTGCGCCCGCTCCATCACTCCGTCACACCCGCTGGCCAACTTTTCAGTAAAGGGGACCTGTTGGTCTCATGGTCAAAGCCGCCCGCCCGCTGAAGCCAGACCAGCGGCTGAGGAGAATGGCGAAGAGGAGGAGGAGGAGGAGGAGGAGGAGGAGGAGGAGGGGGAGGAGGAGGAGGAGGAGGAAAGGGTGAAGAAGGAGGAAGAAAAAAACGAGGGGGCGGGCGGCGGACAGAACATGACAGGACATCCGCATAAAAGGGGGTCAGCGTCGAAACGCCTGCAAAAGAGCTGCGGGGTACGGCTTGCGCAATCCCCTTCGAGTATAGTATGCCGCAGACCCAAACTGGTGTTTGTAAAGAAGGAGCCCACCCACGTCTGAATGTCGTTGCGCCGCCTGGGCCGAGCCCACGCACCTATATGTTGGTCGCGCGTCTGAAGATCCGGGCCGGGCGCTTGCTGTGGGAAGGGGGCTACTGATATCGGGGATTTTAAGGTTCGGGCGCGCCCGCCGCCCTCGCCAATCCGATCACTGATGCTGCCGGACGCCTGCACGCGTCTGTTCTGCTGCTGTCGCCAGACAGTGTCCCAATCCACTTCCAGGCGCCCGTTGTAGCAGAAACGCTGGATGGCGTGGTCCATGGTGGCCAGCTTCGCCAGGAAAGCCTGGCAGAAGGCATCGTAGCCGATCGGGTTGCAGGTGCTCTTGCCGTGGCCTTTCCCGCTCCTCCGATCGCAGGCCTTGTTCCATCCTTCGGCGAGGAGTGCGCCGCACGTCCCCCTGCGGCGGTTGACCACATCCCTCCACGTCTTAGTCCTGTTTGCCCTGCTGGCGCCATTGCGGTTCCCACTGGGTTACGGCCCATGGGGTACGGTACAACAGGTATGGGCGTCCACTCCAATTCCTCCAGCCGGTGGCACCCCTGGCGTAACCCTCTGCCCAGGTGGCGCGGTCCCATTTGCGGTCGCGTCCTTGGTTCCAGTGCGACCAGCTGCTGGACCAACTAGCCCTGCAGGGTATGTCCCCGGGGCGTCTCGATCTCGTACGCCACGTCTCTGACTGGGGGGCTGGGCGTGCTGTCGGCCGCCTTTGCGGTTTGAACGGCGGGTTTGCTTGTTTTGCCCTGGTGCCCCCGCCTGGTTGGCCTCTTTGAGAAGGGCCAGGCGAAGTGCAGCTCACTGTTCCCAACCCGCACGGTTAGCCATGAGCTGCCAATGCGGGCGGTGATGTGGGTGCCCGGATGATGCGGAGAGCCAAGAGCAGAAGACAGAGAGAGGGATAGAGAGAGAAAGAGAGAGAGAGAGAGAGAGAGAAAAAAAGAAAAAAAGAGAGAGACAGAGAGAGAAAGAGAGAGAGAGAGAGATAAACAACAAAAAAAACAAGAAGAGCGGAAAGCGAGGGGTGGGGGAAACGGAAACGCACTCCAGGGTACACCAAAGCCTGGGACAGGAGGGAAAGGAGGGGGATGGGCGAACTTGAAAGGGGAATTCCGATTTTCTCCAAGTTGGCTCTGGAGGCCTCCGTCGGCACCCGAGACCGCCCCAAGAAGCCTCCGGGGAAACCCTCGAGAGGCCAACATCATTGCAAAAACTACGGAACATTCCGATTTGTGTGTTCTCGAATTTCCGCCTCGGACACACTTCCGAGGCTTGCACATGCACCCCGAGAGAGCTCCAAGATGTCCCCAAGATGCGTTCCGAGCGGCTCATGGGAACAGCTTGGAGCTCTCCCGCTGGCCTCTTTGGAGATCTTGAAGGCCTCTCGGGGCCTTCTTCGGCGCTGGATGCCTCTGGGGCGGCCTCTGGGAGCTCGTTGGGACCTGCTCGGAACGTCTTTCGGGCCTTGGTGATGCCTCTTCGGGCGTCATGAGACCTCTTGGGCCACTTCGCGCCGCTCGGGACGCCTCCTGTGGGCCTCTTGGAGCTCTCTTGGGGGGCTTGCGCAAGCCTCGGCCGCGTGTCGGAGGCGGAAGTGCGAGAAAATAGAACACCACTGATTTCCCATCGGTTTTTCAATGATTTTGACATCTCGAGGTCTTCCCCAGAGCTCGGAGGGGACTCTTGCAAGCCTCTTGCGGCGATCTTGAATGCTCTTGGGGGCTTCCAAAGCCGTCGGGTGGCCAGCTTGGACATCCTTGGAACATTTTTGGGCTGTCTCGGGGAAGGCCTGGGCCGTCTTCGGGCTCTCCAGGGGCTCTGTGCCAAAAATGGTAGCGGAGTTGGCGGAGCCCGGGGGGCTATTTATTTTGTTATTCCCAGTTATCTATAAACTCACATATATATATATATATATATATATATATATATATATATATATATATATATATATTCAACCATATGCATGTGTGCACGCATGGAAAATAGTAGCGACCATATGTTTATGCATATGTGTATGTATGCACCTGCATATGTACACGTACACATATGTATGTATACTAATGTCCATCGATTTGTATATGTGTATGTATATCTGTGTATGGGAATATGGCCGCCTCTCCCGAATCACTGCCAGCTTCATGCGCAACCATCGGGCACACCCGCTCACACCCCAATGTACCGGACTCAACGAACTTGCAGGAATCAACCGGCAGGAAGAACGCTCAGGCACTGGTTTGGGGGACCAAAGGAAGGTAACAAGCGGGGCAGGCCCAGGATCAGCGTGCAGTCGAACCAGCGCTAGAAGAACATCCTTCAAGAACATGAGGCCCTCCGCCGGCCAAACACGGCCCAAAGCATAAGATCACCGAGGGCAGCCTTCCCCAGGATGCACAAGAACAATCAACAGACACGAAGCACACTCGGGCACCCTCTCCGAACCGGCCTCGATCGTGCTGCCTCGGTCCGACTGTGTGCGCCTGCCCAGGCCCGAGCCAGGAGGGCGCACGCGCCGATCCTGGGACCAGGCTGGGCCTGGCTGGGATCGGTGAGGCGGTCGGCGGGCGTTCCCCGAGATGCCGGGGGCTCCACCTCCGCGGCGGCGCCGCGGGGCGCGGCGAGCGCCGCGAGGGCCAAGGCGCAGCGCATCGCATGTGCCCCTCGGTTCCGCGAGGCCCCATCAGCCAGGCCAGGCGGGCAGGCCAGGCAGGACAGCCACGCAGGGGGGGCCAGACAGGCAGGCCGTCTCGTCTGTCAGTTTTCCCCGCCTCCCCTTCTTAAAACGACGCGAAGATCGGGACAACATCGGATCGGGATAACTCGAAATCTCTGAGAATCGGCGGGTTTGGAGGATGTATTGGGCGCCGCGGCCGCTCCAGAGCGTTCCGGAACGCTCTGAGAGCGCTCCGGAACGCTCTGGAGCGATTTATCCCGATCCTAGCCTTGTTTTACTTCTGGAGGGGGGCACATCGCTGCTCATTGCTAGTACCGTCGGGGCGTTGACCTAAGGAACGATACATAAGGAGCGAGGCCTCTTTTTCCCATACATTAAACTCCGATGTTCCATGGAAAACCTCAGGAAAACCCAAGGAGCACTGTGAAGCAACTAAGGAACACGGAGCCCCTCCCCAACAAAAAGGGTTCCTTCTTCAGGGCCCCGACTGTAATGTCCAGTGTGTACAAGCAGCACGGAGCAGTGGTGCTATGTGTACCTATAGTTGTACAGGTGTGCATCTACACCAAACGCACTTCTGCAGTGCTCATTTCTATAATGCTCACTTTCGCTCAGCGATCCGCAAGGGGCCGCACATGCACGCACATGTCGCACAGTCGCATGCGCATGCCCATGCAGCCCTGCAGAAGTCTCAACAACACGGCCGCACATGTGCGCACATGCACACAGTTCGATGCACAATGGGATGCGCAGTGTGAACAACGTCGACATTATAAATGAACTTGCCCGCACATGCCCCATACTCGAAGATTCGAATGGGAGACAGGGGCGCAAATCTGGAGGGAAAAGGACAGATGAGCGAGAAATGACGGAAGGAGCAAGGAACACGAGGACAGCGGCTGCGGCCAGCGTTCGAGCGGCAACACCACACACAGATCAGGAACGTGGCAGGCGACAGCACCAATCGAACAAAAGGATGTGGCCAGCGCTCGGATGATGTATCACGCGAGGATGTCTCAGGCGAAAGAGGCCCGACCGCCTCCGCTCATGGCATCTCGGAACCCCGAATTATGAGTATGTCGTAGGCGAGGGCGCCTCGGACCTGGACATGTTCGAGATCAGAGTTGCGAGGATGCCTTGAGCGAATGTGGCCTGACCGCCTGAGCTCTGGGCATCCGGGAAACCAGAATTGCGAGGATGTCTCAGACAAGGGAGGCCAGACCATCATGGGGCAATGCGTCTCCGAGGTCAGAGTTGAGAGGATGTCTCAAGCGAAAGTGGCCCGAAAGTGGCCTGACCACCTGAGCCCAGGGCATCCAAGAACCCAGTGTTTTGCGAGGATGTCTGAGGCGAAAGTGGCCTGACCACCTGAGCCCAGGGCATCCAAGAACCCAGAATGGCGAGGGTGTCTCAGGCGAGCGTGGCCCGACCACCATGGGGCAGGGCATCCCTCAGGTCAGAGTTAGGAGGATGTCTCAGGCGAAAGTGGCCTGACCACCTCAGCTCAGGGCATCTCGGAACCTAGAGTTGCGAGGATGTCTCAGGCAAAGGAGGCAAAACCATCATTGGACAAGACCTCTCCGAGATAAGGGTTGGGAGGATGTCTCCAGCGAAAGTAGCCTGACCACCTCAGCTCAGGGCATCTCGGAACCCAGAGTTGCGAGGATGTCTCAGTCGAAAGTGGCAGGACCACCATGGCACAGGGCATCTCCGAGGTCAGGGTTGGGATGATGTCTCTCGCGTAAATGGCCTGACCACCTGAGCTCAGAAGATCTCCGAGGCCAGCTCGACAAGGATGGTTGAGGCCGACATGCTTCCCCGATGCGCACGGGCGCACCTGGCACACCTTGCGCGTGCCCCGAACGAGGCGCAGCTGGCCCGGCTGGCATGCGGCACACTTTGCGCAGGTGGAGCACGTGGCACATCTGGCCCACCAGGCGTGCCTGGCACTCCAGGGCCTCTGGGGCGCCTGGCGCGCCTGGTGCGCGTGGCGCGCCTGGCACGCGCGGCGCACCTCGGCCCAGCGTCGCGCATCTGGGGTATATGTTGGCACCCAGTAGCTGCTCATCCAAAGACGGCCGCTGGATACGCTGAGACTCGGGCTCTGTTGATGTGTTGGGAGGGCGGGTGGGCGTGAGCCAAACAGTTTGAATTTGGGAGACATGTCTCGACCCCTCCCCCCCATGCCCCCCTTGGTCTGGGCGGGGCGCCCCGCCGGCCGTTGGAGCGGCCACGATGCCCCGAGATGGCTCCAAGAGAGCCTGCGAGAGCGTAACACTGCCTCCAAGACGGCTCAGAGTGACGCAAGATCGTCTACGATGGCTTCCAGCATCCAGCATGCTCCAAAGTGCTCCAGGACCGCCCCAAGACGGGTCCGAATATCCGTGGTGCCTCCCCAGGACGCCGCAACGAGGCCAACATCCGTCCAACACCGTGGAAACTCACTGATGTGGGCCTTCGCGCCCGTTCGCTCCCCGATGGCCTTGCGAAGCCTCAGTGTGGCTCCAAGAGGGTCCACGCCAAAAGGAGCTCAGGAGGACTCCACAACGGCCCCAAGAGCGCCCAAGAGCGCACCAAGAGCACCCCAAGAGAGCCTCAAGAGGCGAATCTAGGGGCCCTCCAGAGGCAATTATGATTGAGGACCCCCTTCGTTGATCGATGTCCTCCAAGATTGTCCCAAGAAGGCCTCTAACGCTCTCAAGAGGGCACCAAGAAGGCCCAAGATGCCCCAAGAAGCCTTCTAGTTCTATGTTTTTCGGGATCCACTCTTGAGGGGCCTTGGGCCCGATGACGGTCCGAGAGGCAGAACATGACAAACGAAAATGGGGAGTGAAGAACACGATCCGCCAGAAGTCTGGGTCTGGTTTTGGTCGACCAATCCTGGAGCTACAGAATCGTGCTTATTTAGCATGTCGTGTCGGCCCCAAGAGCTCGGGGCGGACGAGAGGGAGGGAAGGCCAACATCAAGAACAAAAAACAGGGCTTGGAATAGCAAGTGCGCCCGAAGTCTGAATCCTCCCCACGGCCGACCTCAGGTCCTGCATCCAGCCGCCGAAGTTCGCCGTACCGCGGAATGAAACGATGCACTCCCCGCGCAGCCTGCGGTGGGGGGAAGTGCCCGAGGGGGGACGAGGATAAGGAGGAGGAGGAGGAGGAGGAGAGGGAGGAGGAGGAGGAGGAGGAGGAGGAGGAGGAGGAGGAGGAGGAGGAGGAGGAGGAGGAGGAGGAGGAGGAGGAGGAGGAGGAGGAGAGAGGAGGAGGAGGAGGAGGAGGAAGAGGAGGAGGAGGAGCAGGAGGAGCAGGAGGAGGAGGAGGAGGATGAGGAGGACGAGGAGGAGGACGAGGAAGAGGACGAGGAGGAGGAGGTGGAGGAGGAGGTGGAGGAGGTGGAGGAGGAAGAGACGAGGCGTGAAGGGGAAACGAGGGATCTGATTTCAACGGGAGTTCCAATCGGCAGGCCCTAGCTGCCTCGGGCGCGTTTGCGACGCTGGCAGGCCTCCACTGGCCGAAGAAGAGGAAGCTACATAAGTAATCCCCGCATGAGCGACGCAAAACACCTGGATGCTCCTCCTCATCCTCCCCCTCCCCTTCGTTATACATAACTTCTCCCTGCCGCACCCCGAGACAAGTTTTCAGGGCGGGCTGGGCGTTTCGCTTGAGACTTCCTCACCATTTACAACTCTGGAACTTAACACATGGCAGCAGCTTCACAGATGGAGGGCGGGTGGTTTTCAAAATGTGGCTCTCGCCTCAGCGCCGCGCACATTCGTTTTCAACATTTGCAAGAGTTTCACGGATTGAGGGCGGCTTATGTTCAAAATGTGGCTCTCGCCTCAGCGCCGCGCACGTTTGTTTGAAACATTCGCAGAATTTTCACGGAATTGATGCAGTTCCTTTTCAACATGTGGCTCTCGCCTCAGCACCGCGCACATTCGTTTGAAACAGCTGCAAAAGTTCAACGGATTCAGGATGGTCCCTTTTCAACATGTGGCTCTCGCCTTTGCGCCGCGTGCATTCGTTGTAAACATTTGCCAGAGTTTCACGGATTGATATTTCAACATGCGGCTCTCGCCTTCGCGCCGCGCACATTGGTTTTAATCATTCGCGAGAATTTCACGGATTGAGGGCGGCTCATGTTCAAAATGTGGCTCTCGCCTCAGCGCCGCGCACATTCGCTTTAAACATTTGCAGTCGTTTCACGGTTTCCCATGATCAACGTGCCAGAATTGGTTTTGGAAAGATTCAGGATTATGCGGGTGCATCAATTATGTTGAATCGCGGTCCTGAAGTACCCCAAATGGCGTTCTGGCGCAATTCTGGATCGTCAGGACGCAGCAGTCAGGTTGATCCGTGGCGTGTAAATCCCGAGAACGATGTTTTGGAATGCTTCCAGGTCTTCAAACGGTTGTCTTCCAACGAGGCAGTTCCCTCAATGGAGGTGGACCGTTGTAGGGGACTATGAATAGGGAGCTTGGAGGGGGGGCTAATTCCAACATCGTTGATGACTCTTGGGTTTACCTTGGTCCTCCTCCTCCTCCTCCTCCTCCTCCCTCCTCCTCCTCGTCCTCGTCCTCGTCCTCGGTTTCGTCCTCCTCCTCTTCCTCCCTCCTCCTCCTCCTCCTGCACCTCCTCCTCCTCCGCCTGCTCCATCCCTATCTCCTCTCTCGCTCCGCACTGACAAACTTCTTCGAGTTGCATCCAACTCTGCCCCCCCATAGGATCCGACGTCGCGAGAACATGCAATACCGTGGGGAACACGACCAGAGCCCCAGATCCCATCTGCCTGCCGCACTACTCTGGCAGGATCGATCTGTGAGGGCTCGGGGGCCCGAAGCTGGGCGAACACGCCCGGAGTGGACACATCGCAACGCCACGGTCTCAAGGCCGAGTAGGGGAGCAAACGAACACCCCCACCCCCACCTGGACCACCCACCAGAGAGCGGGGGATGCATGCGGAGAGAGGGGAGGGTGCATGCGGGGGGTGGGGTCTCCACCGCGGGCAGCAATTCATCTCTGATCCATGTTTGATGGTCCCTGGGTTCCGAGGACAGCCCCCGAGAGCGAAACTGGCTAAACACCGCAGTTCTAGTGGTGGGGACGAGCCTTCTGGGCCAGACCGAGGCTCCCCCTCGGAGAACCCAGGGAGAGGCCAGGAGAGCCCATC